ATTTTACAAAATAACATGAAAAAAGGATATCAATAAAAAAAAATAATAGCTCAAAAGTTGTGATTTAACTTGTTAAATCTATAATTCAAATCATGGATTCAACCAGGCAAACTAATTTTTTTATCTTAAATTTATATCTCACACACATGGACAAAAGAGCAAAAAAATAGCCTAGATGCTCTAAGCCATAGGCTTGCATATGTGGGTGGGCATTCAAGCTCAACTTCTCATAATTATTTTTATTTTTTATATTTTAAAGGGTTATTCGCTCCTATTTAACCTATTTATCATGTAAAAAGAAAAAAATACAATTGAAACATCACTTGTCAAGACAAACAACGTATTATTTTCAAGTTTATATTTTAACCACCACTGTGGTACCTAGAAAATTAAAACAATGTCATGGTATCCAAAAAAATCTAATTTTTAAGTTATTTTAATCTAGAAACACTCTACTAACACTCTTAGAATACCTACAAACCAATTTGTCAACTCAAAATACCCAAAAAGTAAAAAAAAAAAAAGAAATCAAATCGAGTTTGATTTATCTTTCTTGACTTATATATATTTTTTAAAGCAACATCGTAAGTCTAACACAGTTATCATCAATCACTTCTCATGTACCATGTGAATACCCTAAAAAAATTCATTTTGATAGTTGGATATGGTTTGAATGAGAATTTTTTCTCTTTATAATAATTTAATGACTCTTTTTTTTTCTTCTCTTTCTATCTAAAGATTGAAAAATAATACAAATAAATTTTTATTCTAAAACTGATTTTGTTAATATTTTAAGAGATTTAAATTGTATAATTTATATTATTTTAAAAATTTGAGAATCTTAGTATATTTCTCATATAATCTTCAACATACTATTTATTTTTAACGACTTTTTACTCTAAGTCTTTGTTTTTTCGATTCCACTAAATTAGTTTTTAATAATTAAATAGTCTAAAATAAAACTTTAATTACTAAACTAAATTATAAAAAATACACATACAATTCACAATATTTTGTATGTGTAAACAGATAAACACTCCATGCTTTTTAGTCTTTTATCGAATAATCTTGTCTCATAAAACATGGGGTCGAAAAAAGAGAGAGCGGCGCCACCTGCTTTTCTCATAAGCCTTTCCGCATTTATGATTGTGCATTTTACAATCATCACCTGCACTACTCTCTCCCTTTACCGATTAAAAGAATGCTGACGTCAAAAAGCTTCTCTAGAAATTTTAAGAAATTGAACTGCAGACCTTTTGCTTTCCTAAGACCGCTTGTAGACATGTCATTTAAATAAATAATTTATTTTCATGAAAATGAATGACTTTACTATATACATTATATTATATATTATATAATAAAACTAGAAGAAATCGTTTGCTTTTCAGTAACCCGCAAAACACTGTTGACGACATTGTTCAATGTGCTATAAGTATGTTTAAGATATTTTATTTTTTACCCTTGATATATATATATATATATATATATATATATATCTTTGCAAATTATTGGGATTTCTAGATATTTGATAATATTTTAGAGATGAATTAGACATTAATTTGATGAAATATAATTTTTACTTGTACTGAAAAAAAACGAAACAAAGGAGTGTTTTTTCAAATTCTTACAATGAATATTCAAATTCTTACTTTATTATGTCATTGTTTATCCTTTTAGATTTGAATTCCTACAATGGATATATATATTAAGATATTTGATTTTTCAAAATGAGATATTTATCTATTTATGTTCACTAAATTTATTCATTATAATCAATAAAAAATAATAAAAATAAAAACACATATGAAACACAGTGAATAAAATAAAAGGACAACAAATATGCATGGTTGAATATCTAAGAAATATTATTTCAAAACAACTACTTTTTTACAAAACAAAACCTACTTGTATAAAATAAAAAAAAATAAACAAAAGAAAACATAAAACATTATAGTTTTTTTTAAAAAAAATCAATAAACAAAAGAAAACATAAAACATTATAATTTTTTTTTTTAAAAATATTTATATAAAAACAACTTGCAAAACTCGTGCTTTAAATAATCAGATGGAGATAAATTAATAGGAAAAAAAATGAAGATAATAAAAAACAATGTTTTTTAAACAATATAGAATTATAAAATCACAAAATATAATGAGAAAAAAAAAGAATTTCTAATTGTATTAACATTTAAAACTTGTGATCCATGTTATTAAATTGAAAACGTTATAAATAGAAAAACCATGAAACTCAATCCCAAATATATTAAATACCGAAGGATGTATTCGAGAAAAAAATCAATATATAAAAAAATTTAATTAAAAAAAGGGTGGAAACCATAATGAAAACTAAATTTGAGGGCATTTAAAAATTAAATTGTAGGGTTAAACAAAAAAAGAATTAATAAAAGAAAAAAAAATCAAAAAAATAAAGGTTAAATTGGAAAAAAAACATCATAAACTTTGATTTAAAGATAAAATTGAACATTAATAAAACTTTAATAAAAGATCCAAGGGTGATAATGACAAATAAAAAAAATCAGAACTTTAATGGTAAAACCAATATATGACCAATTGTAAGTTAAAGACTAAATTGAAAACATAAAAAACTTTTCTAAAGGAGTCAAGAATGAAAAAAATAATTACAAATATAAAGACTAAAATTTAAAAAAAAAAGAACAAAAATGCACTTCAATTGGAAAAGAGAGAGAAGTAGGTAGAAGATAAAAGAAATGACCACGAGTGATAAATCGCCGGACTATCACCGACTATCACCGACACACTCTATACCAAGAGAAAGATTATGTGACGATGCTTCTACTAACACGGTGGAAGGTTATTTTTTGATAAATAGTGGTGTCACATGCGCTGTTGAAAAAGCACGGATGTCATCAACACATTGGACAACACGTACAATAACTTTTTTAGAATTTACTATTAAAAAATAATGTTAAATTACTATAAAAAAACCCTTATAACTCTAGAAATAACTAATAAGCCATTATGAAACTATAAAAACACCTCTACAATAAAGTTGTTTTGACTTATATACGGGTAACGACGTGTTTCTGATTTTTAACTCTGTGTGAAGTCAAAAATATTCTAATTTAATAGGTTTAAATTCTATTTATTTTATAGGTAAAAACATATTTTTACTATAAAATAACTTTCAAATGTAATAGTATCCACATTCAATCTTTTAATAATAAATGAGTCAATATAAAAAGACACAAATACCCTCATCTCCTAGCCTTCCAACTTTTTTCAGTGAGGAACACAAAGGTAAATTTACTGGAACAACCTACAGTAAACTGAGTTTAGTGTTACGGTGAAGTCAACATAATTAGTTATAGAGTTTTGGTTAATTATTGCTATAAATTCTACCTCCACGTGATATCCTGAATCTTTTGCATATCTTTTCCAACTAAAGTTAATGTCTTGAAGAAGATATAAATAGACTCTTGGTCAGCGGGTTTAGATTCTGTTGATCTTAGGAGCGTAAACATATTTTTATTGTAAAAAATAACCTGTAAAAATAATAATATCCATATTTTTAATGATCAATGAGTCAGTAACAAAACACAAATACCCCTACCACCCAGCCTTCCAACTTTTCCACCGAGGGATTCAAGGGTAAATTCACTAAAACAATACAGTAAAACTGAGTGTTTTGGTACAGTGGATTCTTCAAACGATTTAGAGTTTTGGTTAATTATTGCAATAAATTCTTCCTCTACGTGATATCCTGAATCTTTTGCATACTTTTTCCAACTAAAATTAATGTCATGAAGAAGATATAAATACACACACACTCACACTTACTCGATACACTTGTGCCCCTCTCATTTCTCTTGCGTGTTTCGTCAATAAAAGATCAAGAAGTTGGGCTCCTGAAGCGGAATTTGCTTGCATTCAACAGTAAAAACAGCTACTAAGCTCTCTGATCTTTCCCATTCTCTCAAAAGAGCAAGGATGTTTTAGGTTGTCATTTGCAAGCTTAATGAAGAAATTTGGTAAATATAAGCTGTTTCTGCTTCCGTCAAGGTGCATGGTTACAGTAGTCATGCCAAGAAAAATAGAGTACTGGTATGAAATTTGAATACCTTGGTTGAAAACGACAGATATCTTAGCTTCTTATATATTATCCTTCATCAGTAAATCAGAACTGAAATATTTCAAATCCTGTCTTCCCTTTCAAGACTTTTTCCTTCGGTGATTGCATGGAGATGCTTCAAATATTATCAATTTCGAAAACCCTTCAAAATTTATATTCTTGCTGTGCTTTGTTTCCTTCTTATGATCTGCTTTTGCTTTTGTGCCATCACAATTTTTTCTAAATGCTAAAAAATGGGTTATATTTATATTTCTGTTGTTTTTATTTGGCTGTATTTTTCCTTAATGAGGATAGATTCCTGATCAATCCTTGTCTTGGTTTAAGAACTGCCCTTCTTTCGCTTGAGGCACCTCTCTCTCTCTCTCTCTCTGATTAATTTTCGCTTGAAAAATCCATTCCTCTTTCTCTGATGTCTGGCTTTACCTCACACATTCTGTCTCCTGCTGTTTATGATGGATTAGAGCCTGGATTTAAACACCAAAACACTCAATGTACCATATGAAGGTGCATTGTACTACTGATGCACCCTAATCCCATCACCATACATGCATCCAAATCCACCGTTCTGCTTGATCCCCGACACCCCAGCTTCCTGCACTGTTCTGTATTGTGATTCCCAATATCATTGAACTTGGACATACTTGAAGGGCAATCTTGTCACTCTGAACTTGTAATCGAATGATCGGAAGTGCACTAAAGTTTACACAGGTCGCTCTGTTGCCATTTCTTGCAAAACACCAAAACGGGCTTGGTCGGGGTTTCTTTATTATTATTATTATTATTATTATCCTCACCGTTGCCCCGAAGAGGGTTCAGGCATATTTTTGGCAACCCTTACAAGTAAGGCTGCAGAAGACCTCCATAAAGGTAATTCACATCACATGACACTTTCTGTTAACATGAAGACGTAAAATCCGGGGTACTTTTACCCTTCTTCGACCAAATGACCAAAGCAGCCCTGCTGCTTCTCGCAAAATAACTATAGGGGAAGGAGCTGCCTATCAGCCATGAAAAGTGGACCCCCAAAAAGTAGTAGCAATATTTGACCAAAGGGTCAAAGCTGAAAGCCCCATTCATGTACAGTACTGATTACATTTGGCCCCGTAATTTCTCTAGACCCTATAGAAGAAGAGAAGCTGGTAAAGGTAACTCCCTAGAATCCACAAGCGAATGTTAGGCCTAGCTAGAAGCACCGTTGTGGAGGTTTTCGGTGACTGTCTCGAGAAGTTTAACCTCGACCCTGATGCCTGTTTGGTCAGGAGAGTCAGGTCTCTTAGTCTTAAATAATTTGTACTCAACTTTAATAAACTAGGGGGGATGCATTAAAAAATAATTACTTTGCTTAAGTCATGGATCCCGACATGGAGAAGGGTAATAGTGGAATTTTGAAAAGGATGTAGAGGAGGCATGGAAAAAGGAAGAAAGAGGACAGAGATTGCTTGCGCAAATCTAGCTAATCTGGGCTTCTGATACAAGCAAGTGAAGTGAAGTGAAGTGAATGGAGGGTGTTGAGGCAGAGAAGTGCATGCTACTACAACCAAGAATCCCATGTTGAAAACCGTACAAAAAAAACACAAACACAACTCTCTTTACTTCTTGGCCACATTATGTTTTAGACAAGACTCTCGCAAACTATTGTAGCCAGTAAGTAGATGTACTCGCGAGGCAAAGCCCTCATGTTCTCAGCTTCTTTGCACCATCGCGTTCCATCTTTATATCTTTTTAAGATAGGACAAGAGAACCCGTCAAGGGCTTTTCTCAGAGGACAGAAGAAATTAGAAGAGAAAACGTACAGACAACCAATCCCATGTCCATGTTGTCACTCTTCTCTGATTTCATCTTCTTTTTGGCCATTTGCACCCACTAACAAATTGTTGTTCTTGCTTTAATTTACTTTCTTTGTTTTCTTTTTCTTTTACCCTTCTTCTTTTGTAGTGGTAAAGTTTCAAATAGCAAACTTTTGCTCATTGGTTTTGCGCTTTATGTAATGATAGGGTTTTGCTGCTGGTGCTGGAGCTTCTGCTGCGGGTGGAACATGGTTAGGGATGTTGGTGCTGTATTTACTTGGGGCACTGAGGCACGTGTGGCCGTTGTCATGAGAATATTTGCTAGGCAAATGGGAGTTTTAGGCTTGAGTAGCAGCTGGTCTGGATACGCAAGAAAAATCATTTCTTCTGTCCAATCATTGCAAAAAACTCTCTTCTTCTTCTTCTTTTTCGTCTTCTGCTTCCTTGGCTTTTGGTAAATGGTGTCGGGGTTTGGTGGTGATATTGGCTAGAAGGCTCAATCTCTCTATTGTTATGATAAAGGACTACTTCCTAATCTCTTGCTTTCACTTTTGTTACTAGCTTTTCTTTGTATTTCTTCTTTGGCTGATAATATTGTTGATATGTAATTGGCATCCAAATGTTCTTGTGGAAGTGTAACAACAGGTTAATTGTCATGGTATCTTTTGATTATTATTTCTTCCAAGCAATACTAGCTGTCTGGTGTTCCAAGTTTTGTGCCTAATTGACTGCTCGTCCAAGCATAGAACAAACCTCCATGGAGAAAGGGGAGAGAATTTAATTGCAGCAAATGGAGGGCACCAAACCTCAAGCAATTCGGTGAGTAGAGCTTTAAAATCTCAGGGTCCCCTAAAGCTACAGACTTCAATGTTTCAGCACTGTTTCGTTGTCAGTCTTTGCTTCTGTCCTTTTTGTTAATTAATTTTTCTCGGGAAATGTAGGGGCTTGATAGTTGTAGTATATGTTCAAATCCTCAAGGAATTGTTATGTCACCTTCATCCATGTGTACAGTTGAGGAAAAACATCAGTGATACAGTAAAATTTATTAATGATATTTCCCCTTGCATGATACCCTCTCTGTGTAGTTGAGTTTAGTTCTAATGGTGGTGGTGTTTTTGGGATTGGATTGTGAGGTGGACAATACATCATTTCTATGGTCCAGAGAACACTGAAACTCCATGGCCCCTGGAGATGGACATGATCTATCGTAGAGTTTCATTGTGTTGCTTGGATGTGTGAATGTATGAATAAAAAAAGACAGGGCAAGAAAAACAAAGGCAAAGACGAGGAGGTATGAGGTCCGATAAGGGACGGAACGAGGAAAGGCCCTCACAGCTACACATCTGGTAATAGGGTCGCATGTGAAATGAGTTTTCCTAGCTAGGTCAATTATATTTTACAAGATTAATGCCTTGAACAAGGTGGAATTGGGACCTGGAATGATGGTGGGCTCCTGGAAAAGTGAAACAGGCTTTGGCATGTCTTAACTAACCCCAATAATCCCCGGAGAGGGCTAGGGAGCAGGGAGGGAATAGGAGGGGAGGTTGAAGGGCTTGGAATGTGCCTTCGTATTAGATTAGTAATGAATAAATAAACAGGACTGGCCTCCAGCTGGGAAATAACACTAGCAATGTGCCAAACCCAAGTTCTCAACTTCCAGCTGCCCCATGTATTGTTAGTCTATTACTGTTTCTGATGAACCCGTGAACGTTTGTTGCCCAACGTAAGACGACAACTTTTATGGTAACTTTATGAGATTTGAAGCAATAGTAATTGAATATGATCATAACCGATGCCTACCAAATCCAGGGTTAAGTGTCATGAACAACAGTAATAATAATAATAGTAATAACTGAATTGTACTTGTCAGAATGTCTTGCACCTCATGGGGAAGAACAGGGAGTTTCCTGTTCAAGACTAGGGCCACTACCCAGCAGTAGGTGGATCGTCCACTTCAATTATACTTTCCTAAAATTGATAGCGAGCAGCAGCAAGTTATGTTAAGATTCTCTGGTTTGTTTGCAAGTCTAAACAAGGCTCTAACGTGTTCACTTTCACAAGGCAAAACTTTTCCTTACCTACCTTAAATGGCTTTCTGGTTCTTTTGTTTGGCCAACCTGGACTGCTCCTCACTACGAATCTCTTTTTTACACGCACCATGTATCAGCATACAAGCGCAATTAAGACTAGGTCCCATCCCAGCCCATGGATAGTGTAGCACTTGGTGCCTATGTTTTTCTCGTACCCTCCCTCGTTCACGAGGACCAGATCAAGTGCATAGAATTGGCAGCTAGCTAGCTGACATCCGTAGGGTCTTTAAGAGGCCAGAGAGAAGCTGCTTGAAAGGAGCAGGGATAAAGCTTGTTCTGGTGAAGTTTCTGGAAAATGACAGACACTGTTTCATTTAAGTAAAGCAACAACGTTATCGAAACTTATTCTCAGATAAACAGTGTTATCAAACCTACTCCAAGACATGCGATTGATTTGACAAAATTAGTTGCCTGATTGAACCTCCTCTATGTACCCCCAATCACCCCTTCCCTCCGCTCCCCTCGTTTTGGTTTTTGCTTCTATTCAAGAAATCATAACTTTTGATTAAATTTAATTTATTTTATGTAAATGAATAACGATAAACCCATGTTTTTGTTCATCAAAATTCAAAACTGCTACAACTCAAGTCAGGTTCCTTCATTCTCACGACTGGATACCTGTAACCAGGAAGAACATTGAGACTCTTTCCTTCACATTTCAGTTGGGCACCTGTGTATTTGACGTCAGAGACCCTTGCCAATATTAGCTTCCATATCTATCTTAGTGAATTATTGCCCCAAAGTGGAAAGTCATGATCATGAATTAAAGGACCAACTAGTGCTAGGTTAGGTGGTGAAGGCATGAGGTTTGGGAGGGCCATATCCTAGGTTCGAGCCAGTGCTCTCCATTATTACCCAAAAAACAAAAAATTATGAAAAATAAACAAGTGACCACTGACCACATAACATGGAAGCGCATTAACACACCACTACCCCTCCCGCAATACTCCTACAGCTCAATTGGGCTCCATTCAAGGCAACAAAAAAAAAAACCTTAATTCCTTGTCATGTCCTCTAAGAAGTGTGTTTTTGGTTCATTATACATATCCTTCCCTGTTATCCAATCACGTTGAAATTCCACAAAATCTTGACTGTTATTCAAACTGTCAATCTTCAATGTATCTAAAGGTATGATATGGTAGCAATCCATAAATTCCAAAAACACAAAAATCAACTCCTCACCTTGGATTAAAACTTTTAGCTGTCAGTTGTCCTGGATCTTCATTATTTCTTCATGGAATACATGTCATATGTAAACTGCAATTATTTTTCTAGCATCATACCTTTCTCAATCATCTATCTAAAAATCAAATGTTCCAAGCATATATCAAGTGAACAAGAGCATACATATGCTAGGTTATCATAGCAGAAGTAAATCACCTAAGTTGTAGGCAAGTTATCATAGAGTTCGCAAAAATTCTAAGGACCAGCTGTCTTGAAGCGACAACACTCAGACGTTGCAAATTGATAAGCCTTTACCGATCAATTAACAGCATGGTAACTAGTAGTTAAGAAACAATCTTTCCTTTTGTTGCCTTAATCTCTATGATAAATTGATCTAAGCAGAGAAGTACTCATGCAAGAGCAGTATAAGAGCACCAGACCTTCAGACCATAATTCAGTGCTAATGGACCACAGGAAACACAGACAAAGCAACCTTTAATTCACAATCAACCTAGTTTTAATGGAACCAGAATCAAAGTCATGAATTCAAAATTGCCTCAAACAAGCCCCAATTCTTCGTCGGAGTCAACATAACAGAAATGATAGTTAATTCACAGAACCACAGTCAAACCAACTCCCAAGATGCACACATATTTTACAACTAAAGGTCTCAAAAGGAAAACAATGGATAAATTGAAAGTGAGGTGGAAAAATCTCCAAGACTATCCATCGAAGAGAATAACCCAATAGCAAGTCTGTTAGTTAGAAGAGAATTCCTCCACAATGGAAAAGGACAAGAAGAAATGTCAGAGATGTACTTTCAGTCTCCACTTCCACTTTCTTTTGAAATGTTAAATTGGGATTCTGCATCCTGGGAGAGGAACGGATGTATCTACACATGCAGTTTTCCATTTAGCATACTCACCGAGGATTAAGCTTTTATAGACCAAATCCCTGCAATGGAGTTTTACATGGTCTATCACTAGATCGATCCAAGGATTTTGGGTTAAACCTGAACACATGGTCATCAATTAGAAACACAGCCTGAATAAAAACAGACCCCTCAAAGAGAGAGAACCCATAAGTAGCAAGCTGAAGAGCTGCCCCTAATAACAAATACGATGACCTATATCCATTTGCACCCTGAGAATTCAGTGACCTTGAGTGAATAACAAGTGTTCCATATGTTACTACTTCTCACTAATTAGCTCTATTTTTCAACATTCCAAAAATCAGTCATACACACTTCGGTATCAAATATAGTTCAGACTTGGTATCAATTTTGGCACTGCCGAACATCACAGATCAAACAAAACTTTTAACCACTTCACTAATAAAAATAAAACATTTGAATATCTAAGTGAAATCTACATGCCAATGTACAAACTCCACTAGCAACCAGCATTTAGACTGCCAAGGATTGAGTACTTGCTGATCCTGAACTCCAATTAAAAACATTATCTAACACTCATAGAAAAAGAAAACCTGCACATCTGCTTTTATCTAAGATTTTCTCCAACATACCAGAGGGTTACAGCATAGAAGTTGATGCATGATCACATCCTTATATGAACATAAGCTCTTATACCCAACTTCTCCTAATCAGCAAAATAAATTAAATTTGCATAGTTTAAAGAGAAATTCTTTGTTTTAATTATCACTTTTGTTTCCATCCATCAAAGCTTTATTCAGGAAAATCATAGTTTTTAGTTGCCAAAATTATTCCTGTATAACTATTGGCAACACAAAGAATATACTCATGACCCTCGAGCATAGTACCCATAAACCAGGTATACCTAAAGAGAAACAAATTTCCAGAAGGAAAATATTTAAGCTAGCAATCAAGCACCCCAAACTGGTACAAAGCATTTCTTATTCTTCTTTTCTATTTAACGATATCTTCAAAAATTGCCAGAAAAGGAGGCACAATCAAGTATTAGGAGCACAAGTAAATGTATGTCATGTGGTTGTTTATTCATTAACTACTATCTCAGAGATGACAAATCACCGGATGTGAATTCGGTCTTGTTGAAGAAGCAAGTTCTGCAGGTAAACAAGCTCCCCTTCCCCCACACGAACACCACCCCCCACCCCAAAAAAAAAAAAAAAAAAAAAAAAAAAAAAAAAAAAAAAAAAAAAAAAAAAAAAAAAAAAAAAAAAAAAGATATACTGGAAAATTGAATACCTGGGTGCAGGCAAATCATGGATTGGGTTCAAGTGAATCAAAACCAGAATTGGTAGTTCCAAAAACAACACTATTTTATCCAGTGTTCAAGCAATTGAATTGAGAAGGTAATCACATCAACACCAGCAAATAGGTTCTTGATTCCTAAGGATAAAGATCCATTCTATTCCACATAATCATATCTTCATTTTCTGGTCCTAAAGAATACAAGTGAAAGGAAATGTTCAACACAAAAGAAGCAGAGAGAGAATACAGTACGGTCTCTTTTTGTTACCTTCTGGCTCAAATATGTTCGGTATTATCATTTTGGTATCCCCTGTCCTATTAGGTCTAAAATCTACAGTATGCTGAGCTTTCCCATTGGACTGAGTTTTATTTGACATTGCAATTGACCTTCAAATATAAGAAAGACAATGAACTCATCAATGATATCAGGACTCAGATGCTCAGTGTTGGGTGATTACAATTGCAGGGCAGAACAACTACAACTCATAACAAGTATATGGAATGAAGAAAATGGTGCGACCATTGGGAATCAAGGTTAAACTAGAACAGGATAGCACTAACTTCTATATCAATTGAGATTGCCATGCCTTGCTCAAGCTTGTGTACAAGAAGTCAGGGGGGGATAAAATATATAAAAAGCAGGGGAAAACAAAAAAAAAAATTAGAGAAAGAATGGAAGATAAAATATCTCAGGCAGAAGAGGATTTCTAAACAAGCTAGATTAATTACTGGTAGGAAACCATTACCAATTGGGACAGGCATTAGAAACAAGAAAGCATATATCATGTTACAAACGAAGCAACACAGTACTTGCCACACTATATATAATTGCCTCCATTGCAGACAATAGGAAACTCGATGTTGAATTTCTTGGAAAAATAAAATTAGCTGCAGACAATAGGAAACTCGATGTTGAATTCAAAACATGTTTCTTGGAAAAATAAAATTAGTAAATTGACATAGATAAAAGGCAGATCCACATTAGAAAGTGTAAATCAAGCAATGCTCGTGCAAGAGGTGGGACAAGATATAAAGACACGCATATGAATTTTGATTATCAATGTTATTCATTCCTAATCCAGCATATAAGAAGCCACAAGCACCAACCACATTCATGTAATAATCCTCAGAATGAGCTACTCAACACAAAATAATAGTACACTGAAACAACAACAGCATTCGGAGTTCCTAGACAAAAATAACTAGTGAACTAGAGGCAAATGCATATGCAAGGTAATCGATACACAATGAGTGTTGAAATTATTTCAATGTAAGCATAACATATACAGTAGCAATCATTAGACTGACAGCCAATAATCTTCAATAGAAAACACATTAAACGTTGTAATAATCACCTGCATCATTGTCCCACCACATTCTCCACATACCACTTATAAGTATCAACAAGCCCATCCTTAAGTGAAATCTTCGGCGTCCAACCCAACTCCAGCAACTTAGAATTATCCATTAACTTCCTCGGAGTCCCATCTGGCTTTGATGTATCCCAAACAAGATCCCCTTCAAACCCTACAACCTCCTTCACCAACTCTGCCAAATCCTTTATAGTAACCTCCTTCCCACTGCCCACATTTAAATGCTCCAACCCACTATACTTGTCCATCAAAAACACCACCGCATCTGCCAAATCATCAACATGCAAAAACTCCCTCAACGGACTCCCAGTTCCCCAGACCACCACTTGTTTCGCATTATTCACCTTCGCCTCGTGAAACCTCCTCATCAATGCCGGCAAAACATGAGAATTCTCCGGATGAAAATTATCATTCCGACCATATAAGTTGGTCGGCATTACAGAAATAGCATCCCAACTATACTGAATCCTGTAAGCCTGGCACATCTTTATCCCAGCTATCTTCGCAATTGCGTACCACTCATTCGTAGGCTCTAAAGGCCCAGTAAGCAGTGCATGTTCAGGAATGGGCTGCGGTGCTAACTTAGGATAAATACATGAAGATCCCAAAAACAAAAATTTCTTAACTCCGTGGCGAAATGAGGAGTCAATCACATTAGTTTGAATCTGGAGATTTATAGCAATGAAATCGGCAGGGAACGTATTGTTAGCGTGGATCCCGCCGACTTTAGCAGCGGCTAGGATAACAAATCGGGGCTTCTCGGCGGCAAAGAAGGAGTCCACATCAGATTGGCGAGTGAGATCGAGCTCGGAGTGGGACCGAAGGAGAAGATTGGTGAAGCCAAGGGATTGAAGTTTTCGGACGATTGCCGAGCCGACTAGACCGCGGTGTCCAGCCACAAAGATTTTAGCTGATTTGTCGGTGAGGAAATCGGAGGAGTCTGTAGAGAAATGTTTGAGATTAGAATAAGAAAAGAAAAATAAGAGAGAATAGAATTTAAGAAATGCAATGTGAAAGAAGGGTGTCTGGTTGATGAGAAAATGTGGGAAAATTGAGAGAGTTTACCATGGGTGTGGTCGCCCATTCGGAGGAGGATCTGGCGATTGGCGCGGAGGAGATGGAGCTTTATTAGAAGACAGGAAAGCAGTTATGAAGAAAGTCTTACAGGTTCAACCGCTTGATGCGGTTAGGCTTATTAACAAGTTTAAATAGGGGTATTTTACCAAGTAATTTTTTTGAGAATACAGGATAAGATAGAAAAGCACTGGGAAATAGTAAATTTTTATATAACAACCAATACGAGAATCGTGATTTTATTAATGAATGCTGACAAAAATAACATTGTATTAAACAATTATTATAAAAAAATAAAAAATCACTGAAAATTAAAAGATTTTATATTGTAAATTATAATAATAATTTTTTTTATGGGATGGTTTTTTAGCTTTTTTTTTTTTTTTCCTTTCCAAGCAAATGAATGACCCCAGCACCATTAAAAAAACATGTGCAATCTTTCTGGTTAATTCTAACCATACGTGCGTTTAACTAATATATAATCATATTTTTTTTTATATGGTATGATATATTTAGATAGATAATGATTGAATTACTATAAATAATAGATTATTTAAGTTTTTTTTTTCTTTTTTTCTTGACAATTAAAATATATGATATTTCTCTTTGTTTGTTGTTTGTCAAATCCAGTATGGTTGTCACATCCAAACCCAAGCACTAGGCCTAACAACTATACCAAAACCGTGTCTCGACTATATTAATTTTATATTTTCATCTAAGTATTGGATAATTTTTTAAATAGTTCGTGCTTTTTTAAAATTTGAGATGTTGTTGTATGATTTAATTGTCAAAGTTTGTTGCACGAATAAATTATTCTATATTATAACTATTAGTATATACAAAAATTTAAAATATATGATCATAATAGAAAACATTTGAACTTTTGAGTTGATACATTTAAATTTGAGATATTGTTGTATGATTTAATTGTTAAAGTTTGTTGAAAGGAGAATTTATTCTATATTATAACTATTAGTAGATACAAAAATTTAAAATATAATAAGAGATGATACATTTAAATTTGAGATATTGTTGTATGATTTAATTGTCAAAGTTTGTTGAAAGGAGAGTATATTCTATATTATCTATTAGTATATACAAAAATTTAAAATATAATTAGAGAAAACTTTTGAACTTTTGAGTTGATACATTATGTTGTAGGAAAAGAAAATATTGTATATGTAAAAGACTTATTATTCTTTTGACTATCTTAATTTGTGCAATTTTATAGATTATTTCTTCACTAAAATTAGAGATTAATAAAAAAATTAAGTGAATTTTAGGGATGCGTGTGGTTAATGTCCTAAAACAGAAAAAAGAAATATAGAAAAGATAAAAATATATTTGGTTGAAAAGACAAATAAAAATACAAAATAAATATGTTTTTAGAACAATTATAACTAAATTTTTATATATATTTTATAAAAAAACCCTTGAGTCTGATATGATTACAAGGCTTGGGTGCTTGGGTCATGCTAGATCCAAGCACATGGGTCTTGCATAGCAGCTATATCTAAGGCACTTGGGTCTGGTGATACGACTAAAAAATTAATGTCTTCTTCTAAGTGCAAGAGTGTCGAAGTAATAAATAACCTGATAAGACTAGAGTCGAATTACATGGAGGTTAATTGTATAAATTATAGATAATAATAATACAACAACAACAACAATAGTAATAGTAATAATAATACTTATAATAATATTAGTAATAATAATAATAATAGTAGTAGTAGTAGTAGAATTAGTAATAATAATAATAATAATAATAAAGAAACCAAAAACAAAAAATAAAATAAAAGTTAACTAAGTAAAGGAAAGACATAAACTTGATATTACTAAAAACAAAACATAACCAATACAAAGAGAGAAAGCAAGAGAATGATCTTGATCTA